TTTGTTGATAGATGTCTTAGTTACTTTTCTACCACTGTGACCAAAGCAACTTATAGAAGAGTTTATTTGGAGCTTACCATCTCAGAGGGTTAGAGTCTGTGACCATGATGGCAGGAAACATTACAGCAGACAAGCAAGTATAGTGTTGGAGCAGTGCTGAGAGCTTACCTGTTGAGACAACAATCATGAGGCAGAGGGAGGGAGGGAAGGAGGAGAGAGAGAGAGGGAGGGAGGGAAAGAGGTAGAGAGAGACAGAAAGAAGATAGAGACAGACAGAGTCAGAGAGAGACAGACACACACACATACTCACACACACACACACACACACGAGAGAGAGAGAGAGAGAGAATATCAACTGAAATGGTGTGGGCTTTTGAAACCTGACAGTCTGCTTCCAGTGTCATACCTCCTCCAACAAGACCATTCTTTTTCTAATAAGGCCACATGCCACATCTCTTAATCCTTCCCAAACAGTTCCACCATCTGGGATCCAAGCATTAAAACATATGAGCCTTTGGAGGCCATTTTCATTCAAACCACTACAATGGAATCTAGGCTGACTCCATCGTTTACTCTTGTGAATAGTGCTGCAAATACCACGACTATGGATATCTCTTTGTGGTGTCCTGACTTGGAGTCCTTCAGATGTTTACCCAGGAGTGTCATAGCTGGGTCATATTTCTCAAATTTCTTATCTGCCCAAACAATCTGTTAATGACTCATAAGTGACAATATACAGGCATTTACAAATGTTAATTTTTTCCTCACACCTTACCATTCCATGGTTAAACATTGTCAACTTTATGATATGAAAAGCACTAAACTACTGGAAATTTTTTAAAACTTCAATTTCCCTGGGTGTCTACAGGATGACTATTCTTTATTGAACTATATAATGGAGGTTGTTGAAGAAAACAAAAGGGAGGGAGAGAGGGAGAAAGACTATCAAAAAAGAAAAAAGAAAAAAGAAAATTAATATGCTCAAAGACATTATCACATAAGAAAGACAGAAATGAGAACATGACTATCTTCATCAACCTCTCATGATAGCTCATGAACACTTGTTTTGGGCAAGTGCCAACCCCTAAACACTTCCTGTACACTCTCCCATTTAATATTCTCAATGAATTTTTGGGGGTATCTTTTGGAGTCTGGCTTAGAGATTAGAATACAGGCCTCCAAGCAGGTCCCCAGTTTGGCTGTGGCAGGGTCATCGGTGCACACTGAGGCCTGTCCATCTTCAGGGCATGTGGTTCTTCTAGGGTTGTACATTGCCTCCATGGCAAAGAGTCAAAGCCAAACAGTGACTGGTTGACAATTAAGTCAATAGAGACAGAATCCGTCACAGCATGGAGCAGATTTCGCCAGGACTGCTGCTGCTATTTATTTTGTCTTTGAACTGGGTATAAGTCTTACACTCATAATTTTGTCTGTGTAGGAGCAGTTTGTTGACATGCAAAGTGTCTAGAAACGATGCAGTGTGTGAATTGTTACTACATCATTGCTGAGGAACTAGATCAGTGGTTCTCAACCTATGGGTCGTGACCCCCTTGGGGGGTGTTAATGACACTTTCTTGGGATCGACTATCAGATATTCTTTCTAAACATCAGATATTTATGTTATGATTCATAACAGTAGCAAAATTACAGTTATGAAGTATCAACAAAATTAGTTTTATGCCTGGGGGTCATCACAACATGAGGAACTGTATTAAAGGGTTATAGCATTAGGAAGGTTGAGAACCAGTGCACTTGAAAGTAATGAAGACAACATTGAGCCTTCCTAAGGGGCCAGGCAGGTCTTGATTATGGAATATATTAAACTTGAGCCCATTATCTTTTCACTTTCCATTTCTGGCTGCCTTCTAGGTAGAAGTAGAAATGGATTCCTGATCATCCATGACATCCTATGGGAAATCATGTATGTAGTCTTTCACATGACCAACATTTACAAGGCTCTACTAAGTAGGTGATAATGTCTTAGGTTCTGGGTACACAGACATGGAAAGGCACAGCTTCAATTTTGGTTCCTGTCACTCTTTTCCCATGTTGGCTGTGTGTGTATGTTGGTGTGTGTGTTTCTACAAACTATTTGCATACATTTTCTTGAGGAAGATGCCAGAGGGCATGATTCCCTAGAACTGGAGTTATAGGTAGTTGTAAGCCAACAGTCATAGGTTCTGGGACTAGAACCCAAGTCCTCTGCAAGAGCAATTAAGTACTCTTAGTTGCTGAGCTGTTTCTAGCCTCACCCCCCATTCCCCATATTCAGGAAAGTGGTGTTTACCTCAGAACCACCTAAATTTTCCATATATCCCATGCTTTTACCTATAGATTCTGACTTGGGGTACCTGGAAAGGGCTGAGTGTGCCTTTTTATCAAACAAACAAGCCATGCTGAGGCTGCCAATTCTGAGTCCTTTGAGATTGTTGCTACCTGTCTATCATGCCTTACAAACGAGGCTCTCTCCCATTGCCTTTTAGACTTGACTCCTCAGCTCTGATCTCACAATACGCAGTAGATTGGATGGCACTGCTTACAACCGATTGCAAGCCTCCTGAAACGCTCACCAGCACAGCAGTAAACAGGCCTTGATACTTTTCTTTGTAAGAAAATGCTTGCCCACGGATAGATTGAATTGTGTTTTTGCAAGATGATGAGTTGGTAAGTGAAAATTAAAAAGAGGAAACTCTTTCTGGCATTGGACGATAAGGCACACTGCTTTCTGTTACACAGACGACACACACGGGCACATGCCTGCCTTTAAGTTGCACTAAGACTGGAGCTGCTGAGGGGGACATGTGGCAGCACTTTGTAGTAAGGTATCTTCTGGGCTCTGGTTGTATGCCATTCCATTGCTAAAGACCAGGATGAAAAGCATTGCAGACAGCTAGGCACTTGGCCACTTCTATATGAAGAGAATGAGATTCCCAAGAGACCAGGAGAATTCATGTGTCATGTACCGTATTCAGACATGACTCATTTTTCACCTTGCCTCTTCAAAGACATTTTTCAAGGCTACTTTTTCCAGAGGACAAGGGGCTTTCAGAATTTGACTTCAAAATACCAGTTCTTGCTTGTTTCTGCCTGCCTTGCAAATAATGCTGGCTAATCATTTGTATTCTCCAAGAGTTAATGTGTTGGAAACATAACCCTCAAAGTACCAGTGTTAGATGAGGGATGTTTAAGAGGTGATTAGTGGATTAATATTATGGTTGGAGGCAGGGTATCTCTCGGCAGCCCTGGCTGTCCAATGGGAAGGCTAGAATGTGGGAAGGGACTTCCAGGCTTGAGACAAGCACTTGGAGCTCTCAGTCTCTTCATCTTTCAAAGGCTGCTGCCTGGACTAAAAAGTGCAAAGCATTTTTGAACAATATGAACAATATGGTCCGTAGTTTAAAATGGAAAGAGGCAAAAAGTACTTTTAATCTGATTTGACAGCTGCAGTTTTCATACTTACCTCCATCCTTCTTCTTTCTCTGCTCCTCCCTTCCTCTTCTTTCTTCTCTGCTCCTTCATTTTTTGTGAAGAACTAGGAAATGAACCCATGGCGTTCAGCATTCTAAGCAAGTGTTCTATCCTCGGGCCAAACATAAGTGACTCACTAAAATGAGCACAGATCTGAAAAATTTTTGAGACAGGATCCGAAAATTTTTTTGATCCTTAATTTTATTAAGCAGAGAGTGTGTCTGGTAGAGTTACAACAAAAAGTCTGACATTATTGTTGATGCTCAACTATATCACATTCCTTCAACCCTTAGTTTCAATTCAGGCGTCCCACAGTCAGGGACCTAACAGAATCTTCTGGAAAAAATCGAGAAAGCCATCAAATTACTTCATGACTTTTTTTCCCCATGAGTAAGGAAATATTCTTAAATTAAAAAACTATTTTCATACAATACATATCGATCATGTTCTTCTCCTCCCCAATTTCCTCCTAGACCCTTCCACCTCCCCTTTTTCTCTCTACATGTTCTTTCTTTAAAACAAACACCTCCCAAACTCCAAAATACCCCAAAACACAAAAATGGAAAATCAAAATAATTACAAGATTAACAAGACAGGACAAAATAAAGCAAAGCACCCCCCCCCACACACACAAAATAATACAAAAAATGTCTACACAAATACTATTGGGTTAATTTCTTATTGGTCAACTTACCCCTGAGTATGGGCCTGACCTGAAGTTAATATGCTTATTGGTAAATACAGATTTTTCCCTTGTCAGTAGGTATCAATTGCAGATAAAATTTCATGGATCAGAGCCTGATCCACTTTTCCCTTCTAGTGCTGGGACCTCATCTGGCTTGGGCATGTATTGGTCTTATGTGTGCTGCTACAGTGTCTGTGAATTTCTATGTCCATCAGGTTTGTGGTGTCTAGAGGACAGCTTTCTTGAAGCCATCCATCTTTCACATAGATCCCCATGGAAGAGTTTGATGAGTATGTCCCATATAGGACTGTGTGCTCCAAAGTTGCCTTGGTGTTTATCACACAATAGAAAGCAACCTGGGACAAGTAGTATCTCCTAGGTGCAGTTCAATGGTTAAGAGTCCTTGCTTAGCATGTGTGAGGCCTTGGACTTAATTCTTGGCCCCCCAAAAAACAAAATAGTAGAAAAGGAAGCAACTCTTCCCCAACAGTGGCATACCTAGGAATAGCCAAGTTTGTTTATTCTGTGAACTGCATCTTTGCTATCTCTAGAAAGCTTGGTGATTTGCTATTACTTAGCTTTACATGGGCTCTGTTGTGAAGGTCATGAAAATATCACTCAAGGAACATGCCCAGAGCATGGCTGACTAAAGAGAACAGTAACAGAGTTCTGTGACGGCAATGGTTTTAAGCAAAGTCTTGGGAGGATAGTAATACTATATTCCTCTTACAAACCATCAGGAGAGAGACAAATAGAAAGCAAGTGACAGGACATGCTAAAAACCAAAACACAAAATTTGCTGTTGCTTTAGAAAATGTCACAGGTATATTTGGTTTTGGGTGGCAGTTTACATTAGCTCTTGAATCTTCTCTTCCAGTGTTTTAATGTCAGCTCCGTGAAATTCAAAAATCTGTTTCAAATACACAAAGGCACAAAAATCTTTATTGATTCAAGCATTGCAAAGACATCAAAGTGTCAAGGAGTTTTGTGTATGATCTGTAAAATTGTTTCTCATTTCCATAATTTTAAGACACTTCAAGTACAAATACACATTAAGTAGATTAAATTCATGACCTTTTATTATTTGTCACGAGATCAGGTACATTCAGGCGGTATAGCCATAAGCAACGTGATACTCTTTCAAATGGGTGATATGAATATTTCTCCAGGTCTTTACAATTTTTAATGTATGACCAAAAAACATACAACCGTGCTGGAGAGGAAGAAGCCCAGTCCTTGACCTCAGAGCTTTTTATGTATTGGCATCAAGGGCTTGTTCATTTATATACACAGTTTTCTAAAACTAAAAATCTTTTTGTGACTTCTGCCCAGGTCATGGTTATATAATTGAGTCCAACAAGCGCATGTTTCCTCCAACCTCAACTCAGGGTGCACTTTATAGTGTATGGTATATTTTAATTGCAGCATTTTTTAGTAGTATATGAAATAACGGATTCTCCTTCTCTTTTCGATACAGGTTTTTTTTTTTAGGCAGCCAACTCTGACTGTAAAGTGCTGATTCTCCTGCCTCCACACGTAAAGTGCTGGGATTACAGGCATACCACAAACATGTCCTGCTGGAACATCTTTTTAAATAGGTCCTTTATGTTTGGTTTGGGGATACAGCTCAGCTGGTGAAGTGCTTGATACAAAAGCATGAGTTACTAAGTTTGATTCCCAAGAACCCCGCTAAAAAAGTGAGGTGGAATAGACTGTGTGTGAGAGCAATCCTAGAGCTGGGGAGGTGGAGACAGGTGGATCCCTGAGTCTTGATGGACAGCCAGTCTAGACTAATTGGTGATCTCCAAGCCAGTGAGAGACCCAAAACCACCAAGATGGATGGTTCCTGAGGAACCATGCTGAGGTTGTTTTCTGACTTCCACAGGTACTCACATACACTCATAAAAACACACATACATAAGCACAGTGCACTTAATAAGGACATTAACCTGCCCTTTGAACCTACTATCACATCACTACTATGTGTATTAGTCATTTGGATTGATGGAAGAATGTAAGTAAACTGAGGCAAAGATCAGGCGAAGATTTGAGCTCTTGGTAAGCAGGAGTTTTTAAAAGTATCTTTTAAAATAATTTATTTTTATTCTTATTTTATATACATTGGTGTTTTGCTTACATGTATGTCTGTGTGAGTGTGTAGTTCCAGATCCTCTGGAACTGGAATTACATACAGTTGTAAGCTGGCATTTGGGTGCTGGGACTTGAACCCTGGTCCTCTGGAAGAACAGCCAGTGTTCTTAACCACTGAATCCACCTCTCCAAACCCCAATAAGCAGGTTTTGAAGCCAGGAATGTGTTAGGACTTTGGAGTAAGATGTAGTGGAAGTTTTGGTGTCTTTGAAAACTCACTTATGTTACTGTAAACAAGGTTTTGTTTTAATACCAGGTGTGAGATATGGGACTCATTCAGATTGTTCACAGTAGCAAACTGCCTCATGTAGGCTCTGAGAGGGGTTCTTTGCCAGCTGCAGATAGTTTAATTCTGAGAACCCTGGAGAGGGGAAAAATGCCAGAACCTAGAGGGAGGGGTGCATTTCAAGTAAGAAGAATGCTGGTGCTCCCCCTCCTGTTTCTGGTCGTTGTTGTTGCAGTTTGAGGAGAAAAAGGAGGAGGAGGAGGAGAAGGAAGAGGAGGAGGAGGAGGAGGAGAAGAAGAAAAAGAACTTGTTGTTGTCGGAGATATCCTGAAACAAAGACTGGACTTGTCCCAAGGAATCCAACCACCCTAAACAGCAGGGAGTAGCCAAAGAGAACTACACCCCCTGTCCCCACTAACATTCTTTTTCTCCTACCTGGTGTTGGAAGGGATTGGGGTGGAAAAGGGAGATACAGGCATGACAATCCAAATAAAGTAGAGTTTAAAGCTAGCAACTACAGTAGGGGCTGGAAAATTCCAGAACAAACCTCTGTGCTCAGTATGCTGCAGAGAAGCAACTGTCCCCACACCTCCTGTTTCTGCGTCCCCACTCAGTAGCATCCCTTCTGGGTCCACTGTTTTTTTTACTTCCTGAATGCAACCCCCAAGTGTGGATTACTTCCATCTTGGTCTCATTTCACTTACCTTCCTGCTCTCCAGTCCATTTCTGACATAGCAGCACATTGTTCTTTTGAGTCTTGAGAATAGAGTGACCTATGTGTGGGTGCAGAATTTCATGATTTATCTGAGTTGCCGGTATGTATTCATCTTCCTATAAATAGTTCTCCTGGGTTCTGACCAGGGAAGGAAGGTATCAGAAAGGATCTGCCAATGGGCTCCTTTTTAGGGCTGAGGAAATGTCACTTTGCAAAATGTTTGCCTAAAGTCCTGGGTTTGGTCCCCAACACCTCATAAACCAACTGAGGTGCTGTACACCTGTAATCCCAGCACTCAGGAGGTGAAGGATGAGGGAGGATCAGAAGTTCAAGGTCATCATGAACTTCATAGTGAATTTGAGTTCAGCCTGGGCTACACTAGACCTTGTTCTTCCTATTGGTCTGATGCCAACTGGACAGTGGCTCTGCAGCAAGAAGGGAGTTTCACATTTGGGTCCTAAAGGGACTTTGTCTCTTGCCTCAAGCCAGAGCTGGAATGGAATGCAGGGTGTGGGAGGTTTTGCTCTCCACTTCAGTCTCTGTTTTTCCCATGGGAGTTGAAAGGGCAGGCATCACTACAAAACAGTGGCTCCCACTTAACCTTCTTTTGGACTCTGTGTCCCAGGATCCTCCTAAATCTTCATTCTTTCTTTTGCTACAGGGGAGTCTGAGGCAATTAGAGACCATAAGAGGGAAGCAAAGCGTTTCCAGAGAAGAGAGGGTGTGTCTGTTTCCATGACCACCACCATGCAATTCTAGATGATCTTCTGGACTCCCAGGGGCCCATTACAAGGTGTTTATCTTATCGCTTTGTAAATAACTTCAGTGGATAATGTTTTGTCCGCTTATTTCAGCCCACTTCCTACTTCAAAGGACAGTGTGAACTCAAAAGGGAAGGTTGGGGTTCACTCTACAGAGAATCCTTTTACTGAAAAAAAAATCTGTATCTCATAGTGGGATGGTAGACACTATGGGGTGCAAAAAATGGGGCACATCTCTGGAGAGGGGTGATTTGCCTGATTTTGCCGTTATGAGATTCCTGCTGTACAGCCACCAAGAACATCTAGGAGCAACGAGAACCATGGCTAATGTGGAGTCTGACATCTTTCTGGAGATACACTGAATCTACCACAGGAGACTGTCACCTACCATATCATATGAGCCAGAATTTCACAAAATTCCATAACTTCTTAGTAAAACCTTACAGTATTATGAAAAAATTATATCTCTCATATCATTACCTTATCTATGCTCGAAAGCAACCTCAATTCTCAATTTTCACAATGAGTTGCTTTTGCATACTTTTGAACTTTACAAGCAAAATTCTACAGACTGTATCATATGTCTAACTTCCTTCACTCATGTTAGTTATCTGTTGAACAGTAGTCTGTATGAATTTCAGTATTCCTTTGCATGAGTATAATGTAATTTATCCACTTGGGCTATGGGGAATGGGGAATGATGCTTCTGGGATCATTCTCTCTCTCTCTGACAGGATCTCAGGTAACTCAGGCTGGTCTTCACCTTACAGTATACCCAAGGGTGGCTGTGATTTGTTGTATGCACAACCACACTCTGTTTATACCATGCTGAGGACTAACCCAGGGTCAGCTAGCCAAGCATTCTACCAGCTACCAAGCATTCCTAGCTCCAGAAACTGTCCTGATGGAGGATGAGTTCCTCCACATCCTTGACACTTGGTATTACCAGTCTGTCATGTCAGCCATTCCCATGGCTTTAAATGATATTGCCTTTGCTCTCCAGTTGGTAACTTTTAAAGTGGACTACAGCAATAAACACATAACTTTCTTTGTATTCAGTTTCGTGCATTTTATATCCCTCCCCACCATGACTTACAAAACCACAAATGTACTTATAAGATCATTTCCAAGCTCCTTCACTGTTTTCTCCCTCTCCACAAAAATCCACTCTTCTAATGATGTCTAAATTTTGTCTCCTCACCTCACCACCATTCATCACATGAACTCTGAACTCCAGGGATATTTCAGATAGGATTCATTTGCTTACTTAAGATACACAGATTGAGAACCCCTTGTTTGAAGTGCTTGGCTGCAAACATTTCAGATCTTGAAATATTTGAAAATAAATGGGATATCTTAGGAATGGGACTCAAATCTAACCTGAAATTTGTTTATGTTTCACATGTATCATTTATTCATAGCCTGCTTTAGATTCCTTTATGTTGCTATGATAAAACACTCTTACCAAAAGCAACTTAGAGGTTAGGAATTATTTCATCTCACAACTTCCATATTGCAATCTGTCACTGAGATGATGAGCAGTAGCTCAAGGCTACCGCTACCTGGAATGAGGAACCACGGAGGAATGATGCTTGTTGGCTCAATCTCTGGATCACTTTCTGGTTTATGCTTAGCTTTAAACAGCCCTGGACCACTGACTAAGGAATGGTGCCACCAATGGTGGGCTGGTTACTCCTACATCAATCAATAAACAAGGCATGCCCACAGACCAACCTGACTCAGGCAGTTCCTCAACTGACATTTCTTTTTCTAAGATGACTCTAGCCTGTGTCAAGTTGACATTTAATGCTAACCAAGGCAGTAATTTTGTACAATGCTTTTTCTATTTTTTTCATGAAAGTAGGTCTGTGTACATTGAAAGACCGGTCTTACAGCATCATGCTGGTACAAAGTATCAGATTTTGGAACATTTCTGACTTTGGATATTTGGCTTAAGGATACTCACATAGTTTTCTTTTAGAACCTTCACTTAATGAGTACTTATAGTGAGCCAGACCATTGTGAACAAAAAGATACAATCACCTAGGAGTTCATGTTCTACTGATAATTTTATGCCATTGTTGTATAAGTATGGAAATTATTTCGGATGCACACCCATGCCAAGCTATAACTCTCTGCTTCTCATCTAGTCCCATCCCTCCCTGATGACAGCTATTCCATGAAGCCTTCTGAAGCATTTTCTTTTCCATCTATTGCACTCTGAACTTTCCACTATGATGTTATTGATTTTGTCATCTGTCTACCCATTAGTTCAAGAATGGAGATTATAATTTTTCATTATATTTTTAGTGCCTAGTTTGTAACTTTCACATAAATTAGCCTTTATTAGAATAAGCTTAGCTTCACTCATTTTTGGTCACTGAAATATGAGTTCAAGACTCTGGATAGCATTAAATTTCAGGAATTGTTCTCTCTCTCTCTCTGATGATTAGTGTTGAAAATATTCATTTTCTTGCTAAACAGAACAGGCCTGAGTTTTCTGTTCCTCAGAAAAAGAAACTTGAATTGCAGGAAAAACCACAGAAACTGTCTTGGCCAGAACAATTGACCTAGGGAGGTAAGGTTGCTTAGCTACTGGTCTGAGAAGCACCTAAGCCCTGATCAGAGTCACGTAGTCTTCACAGCAAAGACCAAGCTCCGATCAAAGTCACGTAGCCTCCATGGGCACCAACCAATCCCAGCTGAGATTATAAACCTACAGTAGGAATCCCCTCTCTGGACTTAAAAGGGGCCTTCAACTCCTCTGGAGTTGCTGCCATGTTATGAGGGTGGTGGCCCCAGCATGCTAGTCTTCTGCAGAATAAATACCCTTTGTTGTTTGCATGCTACTTGAGTCAGGGGTTGTTCTTTCTGTATCTACTGGACCCTTAGAGTGTTAACTGACAACTTCATAGACCCTAGAATCACCTGGAGATGGGTTTTGGGCATGCCTGTGATGATTATCTTGATTACATCAATTGAGGAAGATCCAGTCGCTGTGGATGGCACCATTCAACGGGATCCTGGACTGTATAAGTAAAGCATGCGCACACTCACTGTTCTCTCTTTGTGACAGCAGATGTCATGTGACTAGCTGCTGTAAGTTCTTGCTGCCCCAACTTCCCTGCCATGATGTCTATACATAGAATTAGAAGCAAAATTGAATCGTTTCTCTTCTAAGTTGATTTTTTTGTCAGGGTATTTTATCACAGCATCAGGGAAGTAACTCCTTCCCACTTTCTTGTCAACCTTTCTTTTTCCTTCCTTCCTTCTACTTTCCTTTGTCATGCTGGAGAACTGAACCCAGGCCCTTCACTCATGCTAGGGAGGAGCTCTACTACCAAGCTACACCCTCAGTGCTGTATTCTTTGTCTAGTAGACCAAAGACAAAGGTTGCATCCGTGTGTCATGTATTCCTGTCTAGTGGGCTTTGCATTTGGGAAGTTAGTAAGCAGACTGACTAAATGAGGAACAGCTACTGGTCAGAGCTGTTATGCCACAAGGGGCCTTGCTAAGGAGAGCTATGCAATTGTCCTGGGATATCACTGAGGTTTAGGGGAACGTTAAAATCCACAAATGCTCCCAGGCTTGTTTTCTCATAAACTTTTAATCCTCTCTAGATTATATATAACAATCGGTACAGTATAAGTGCTGTGTAAAGAGTTGTGACCATGTATTGTTTTAGGAATAATAACATGAAAGACAAGTTTGTACATTTTCAGTATATACATTTTTTCCAGACATTTTTGATATGTTATTGGATGCATGCAAGAATGTGGAATCCACTTATAAGTAAGTTCAATGGTATATGTGTATTCTGACCAAAGTGTTTCTTCCTTTTAATATCTCAAAGGCTTCAATCAGAAGTATCAGGGAGTGAGTTTACAGATCTCTTATGCCGCCTTTATTTTAAAAATTTCTTCTCCCCCCCACACCTTTGAGATAGAGTCTCACTATGAATCTCAGGCTAGCCTTGAACTTGCAATTCTCTTGCTTCAGGCAACCAAGTGATAGAATTACAGGTATGTTGCCACACCTAGCTAGGTCATTTTTCATGCTGCTGCTGCTGCATGATAGAAATAATTGCAACAAAAAAGATGAGAGCTTGTTTTTTGAGGCCAATGGGAGGAGGGAGACTATTCAGGACTAAAAGACTACCCAAATCCAACATGATTTAAAACAACTTTCATTACGGACATTTTGAAATACACAGAAAAATAGAGTATAAAAGTGACTTTTTCATGATTTACCTATCACTTAGGTTTAACTAGAGCCAGTATTTCCTATGCCAAAGACA